AGAACGTGATAACCACATTAACATATCTTCAAGGAGTCAACTTCGGACCAAGAGTTGAGGGGCAAGGGCTACTTCGCATGTATTCCTCCTGAACGACTGTGGTTTTCAGAGTCTCGAACAAAGTATGCAATTTTTTACTATTTAACCTCTTGGAAAGGGTCTCCGTAAGAAGCAGAAGCCGTGAATAGGGTGTTTAAGGGACGCAGTCTTCATGTGTGGTACAAACAGTCTTTATTTTTTACTCTACTTATCAATATTCTGTGTCTGCCTAAGAATAAATGCCACAGTTCGTACATTTATTGACAAACCCCTCCCCCCTCCAACTTTCCTTTGGATGAACCAACTCCAAAACATGAAATACAAAAGAAAATCGGGTAGGTGTTATTTTACAGTTGGACAGACGTATTAATTTCGTCAAGATGTGGATGGTTTAGGGTCCTCCGGAGGCAAACTTATATCGATGCCTTTGCCTTTTTTCAGCTCCACCACGTCGCTTGTCTCCCCTTCATTAAGAGGTTCGCAAAGCTGCAAGAAACATAAACATTCGATCACTTCTTTGGAAAAGATGTTTGCCATAATTAATTTTCCAATACTATCCCTATCTGAAGCACAGGTTCTATAACGCTTTGACAAGCGAAAAATTCTCTTTCGATATGGTAACCCGTCAATTCACTCAAACAAGAAGTGAACTCGTCCACACTTTAGAAGCTAGTTCGAAAAGGAGGACACATGTTGTAAACGCTTTAAGTACAAACTAAACAACAACAAAAAAAAGACCAGCTTCTTTACCTTCTTAAGGGCGTCGTTAAATTTTTCGCTGTCATCAATAAACTTTCGTTTTTTACCCTCAAACTTTTCTTCGATTTGCTGCAACTCACTTTCCAGCTTTTTCTACTCAAGAGATAACACAAGAAAAGGGAATCGTTGTTAGAAAAATAAGTTAGCCAAGGTACCGTAACCAGAAAAATACCAAGACTTAAGGCACACTTTGCTTTAAAGTGAGATAATGTTTAACTAATATTGCATCGGAGGAGGAGAAGATGCAAAAAGAACACAATTTCCAATAGTTTACCATTTTAGATTTTTTTTCATGCTTGGCAAAAGGCTTATCGATAGCATTATTAAACATACAAACTATTGTACATAAAAAAGAAAAAGTACAGCGCGTGCCAAATGAAATAGTTGTTTCGTCCACACAATCTCTAGAATTGTTATGTGAGGCCTTTGTATTCAGCAAAGAGCAAACGACTTACCTGATGGGCTATGAGGGACTGGACTTGACGCTTGAGGACTCCCAGACGGGACTTGGTCACAACTAAAGTAATAAACAGGACAACAATTGAGGAATACGTCTTGGAGACAATGGTGTGAAAGTGTTGAGACACTCCACAACTGATATCATTGACTACCATAGGTGTCAACAACACAAAATACGAAATATGAAAAAAATTATCAGATCAGACAAAAAAAACTCAATACAGTTGATAAGTCAACCTAAAATTTTATAAAAAAGTTGCAAACAGCCAAATATTAAAAACAAAAAAAGACAAAGTCTAAGCATTTCTTCCTTTTTTTTTTTTTTTTGCAATCTGACCTGTTCGTACATCCCTGACCACTGTGTCGCTGAATATTTCTGACATCAACTTATGATTTCGATGAAAACGAGCTGCAGATATGTGTTTGACAGAGAAGGCGTCATCTTCATCTGAAAACAGAGAGAGGTAAAGGTGAAGTATCTCAACAGTGAACAGACCATGTTCCTTTGCCAGGATGGAGCCTGTCCCAGCTTTCTCCACTAACATGTCAAGAGGTGTCATTAGCTATTTTGCTATGTAAAAATGAGATCATAGCCTATTACGAGTAGCTCCCTCTCCTAAAAGAGTGGGGGACTGTGACAGCGCTTGATCAAGGCTCCACCTTTGGAAAAGGAATACATGTCCCCCACAACGAACACTAACAAAAGCTTGAAACTAATCTTTAAAGAGACCATCTGTAAGGAGAAACTTTCTAAACAAATCCAAGAAAAGATGGAAGATAAATATGTAAGGGTCCCTTTGAATAATTTCTTTTCCTACCACTTTCTAGCTCTCAAATGTGCCACAAGCACAACTGATAGTTTAACCTACCATCATCGTCGTCCACAGGTTGAATGCCAAATCTTGCCTCATCCATTTTCTGACCAACAAACAAAGTTATAAATAGTTTCCTTTTCAATTTCTTTTCAAAGCAATAGATTATTTGTGTGTCACCACTATCCAATCAAGAAGAGCAAGTAAGAAAAGTGTAACTGCCCAGTAAGTAAATAAAAATGATAGCCATGGTACATTGTGAGCTCTCTCATCAAAGAAAGATGGA